AATTGTTGTAACTTTTGAACGGTTCGACTACAAACGAAACGAAAATCACTACAAACAACTACAAACGATTTAGAAACGTCACCCGCTTGCAGATTTGAGATATCTCAAAGTGGGGTGCTACTCATTTTTTTAAATTTCTATAATTTTTAATGGATGGAACTACAAACGAAATTATTGTTACTACAAACAACTACAAACAAAATGCTAACTTTTTACGTAGAAAAAAATTATTTTTTCAAAAGTCGGGTGCCAGGTTCACATAGCTGTAAGAAACGCCAGGTAATCTTGTGCTCTTTTTTGTTCCAGGACGTCAGGCCGTTGTTTGAGCTTCAGCGAGCAGGCGACAACGGCGTTATAGCGAGCGCGCACTGATCGCTGCCAAGATTCCCCGGTCAGCTCGGCGAGGAGCAAGTTTCGAATTGGCACGCACGCCGAATTGGCGCGTGTTCCGTGCGCTCAATGGGATCGTCTGGAGCGGTGACCTGGCGGTGCCGATCCTCCAACACCACGGTTGGCTGATATCTCGCGTTCCCGCGAGTGAGCGAGCGCGTGCGTACGTGCGTGCGTGCGTACGTGCGTGCGTGCGTGCGGCGTGCGTGCGTGCGCGCGCGCGCTGTCCCTCGCGTGTGACTCTCCGCGTCTACTCTCGTGGCACGCCCACAAAGTCTCCCGTGGACCGCGCGCGCGGTTGCGAGAGGGTCAACGAAGCCGACAAACACGCCTCGGACCACGCCGAGAAGAGATGCGCGAAATCTTCGCACGGACGCCGGCTCTATCGCCACATTGACGCTCGAACCCTCCACTCGCGCGCGCGCGCGCGAGAGAGACGAATAGGGAACCAAAGAGAGGCTGGAAGCGAAGGTCCAGTTGCCGTGTCGACGGCGAAGAGATGCGAGCGGGACGCACCGCTGCTACACCCTTGCACTGAATTCGTGCGACGTGCCTCGCAGTCGTCTCGTTTCGTTGTGAGATAGAGAAACGAAGGAAGAGACACACAGAGAGAGAGAGAGAGAGAGAGACAGAGAGAAAGAGAGAGATTTCGTTCTTTTTTAGAAGGAACAAGCAACATGAAGTCGGCCGCGTGCTGTACGCGCAAACTTCGCGGCACAGCGACGTTCAACGAGGACGAACCGAGTGCTGTGCCTTCTTCTTCTTCTTCCTCCTTTTCCTGCTCCTCCTCCTCCTCTTCCTCTTCTTCGGAAGCTCGCTCCAACACCTGCCACTGCCATTGTCCATGGAGTCGTGGCGCGTTCGAGGACGCACTCGCGTCGCCGTCGTCGACGTCGGCGTCGGTGTGTGAGCGTCTTCGTGACCGAACCGACCGCGATCTGTTGGACGCGATACGGACAGAGGACGACCTCGTGTTCGGCCGCCGGCACGGCCGACCGAGGCGGAAACGCGACGGAAACGATTCGCCGACGAATCACTCGAAAGCGACTGATCAAAAGCGCGATAGAACTACCAAGTGCGAACAAGTTCCGCTCTGCGAATCTTCCGCGAGATGTGCTTCGAGCGTCGTGCGGTGGAGTTCCGTGGCGAAATTCGTAGGCAGATCGAAGTCGTGGAGAAGACTCTTCGCGATCATCTTCCTGATACTCGCGTTACCCGGCCTTGTAGCGGCGCAAAGACGCACCGCCATCGGTCCCTCCAAGAAAGACGGAGGTGAGTATACTTAAAGTTTCTTCCTTTATTTTGTTAGCCCGAGACCCGACTTTTCCTATCTCTTGGTAAGTCAACTAATCATATATCTGTCTTCGCCTAATTTGAAGGAAAAACAAAGTTAGACGTGTGATTCAGTTGGCTTATCAAGAGCTTGGAAAAATCGGTTCGTGCTCTCTTAAATCAGAGCAACTTCTTTGCTGCGAGACTTGACGTGAAGGATAACGTACTTATGCGATTAACTTGAAATTCAAGAAATCCGACTGTATAGAATAAATCACTTTCTGCGATTTATAGGTTCTCGCATTCAGATTATTCTGATATATGCACTGCATTTCTTAAGGAGTGTCTCTCTTGTAAGATATTTAATGAATTGATTAAATGAAATGATACAAAATTAAAAAATACCATTTAAAAATTACAGTTAAAAAATCCGTCAAATCGCAAAAGCCACTAGATAGTAAACGACTGTTACCTTAAAATCGAGATAGATAATATAAGTTCCAAATTACAGAAAATTAAAAATGTCAAATGCTTATCAAGCAGTCGAAAATAAATAGAACGGCGTCAACAGATTTAACGGATGTGCACAGGACGCAATGTAAGATAGTCGTAAACAGAAGGCAATATTAAAATCGGACCACATTGTAAATCAACCCTTCTTTACTGTAATTTTTAAATGGTATTTTGTACTGAAGATGGTCCAAAATTAGGACCGAAACGTATACGAGCTATATTTGTTCATTGTATGAATATATAATTAATTTCGCTCTGTCACTGGCGTCAACTTTTATTTGTCCTTTTTTAATTTTGTACTGTTTGTAGAGTTTAATTGTATTTAGTGATTAGATGAAAATTTTGATTCTTTTTCTTGAGTGAAAGAGAAAGCATAAATAGCGTATAATTTTACCGTCAATTTTGCGTCGGGAGGAACTATAGTCAGGCGTGCGTTTTGTCTAACGTGCAAAACAATAGACGGACGAAACTTGCTCGCTCGGAACTTCGTGAATGTAATGCGCGTGGTCACTCTAGAAAGAGTACTTGGATTTTATTGTCTCCTTTGTTCAGTCGACCCTTTGATAACCGATAAGAAAATCCCGTGTTCAAACTTTTTCGAACTACTCACGTGAAATTCGAGACGTTGATCTAATAAACGGTCTTCTCTTTTATCGAGAAGTAGGAGACAGTTTCGCGATATATATACATCCGGATTTTCCGTAAGCGGCAATCAGGCAGGTTCTTTTAGCAACATAAGAGAGAAACGGTTCTACTTTAAATTATACTGTCGCAATTACGTTATCAGTGCAAGTGGTCAATAGGTATCGTTGAAGATATCCCGAGTAAACTAACGAGTTTCTGTCTAGAGTTCCGTCCAGACTGTGCAACTATATGGTGCTCGAATATCAAGAGAACGAAACTACATTCACTGACGTACAAGTCAGCAATGTCGTAACATTTCGCTTATGAAAAACAGGAAGAAAAAGGGAGCAATTTCAGCGCGATAATATTGACTTCCCATGTCACATTTATAACTGAATGACAAATTAACGACACCGGCGCGTAGCATACCGACACGCATAGCTGTAACATACGCGCACACACAACACACACACACACACACACACACAAGATAAGGAATTCGTGTTTATGGAATACACGTTCACCGCGCGGCGGTGTAGCGACATATTTTTCTGCTACACCATTGCGAGCGGCTGATCGATGCAAAAGTCCAAAGAGCCGTGTCTTTTTGATCTCGTTCAAATGTGAGCAACTGACCTTTCGCGAAGGAAGCGATTAGTCTTCGAGAAGAGTTATTAGCGAAGAAGCATACAGATAATGTTTCAATTACGAGACGATCCGCGCGACGGCATCGGTGCGCGATTGATAAGCGGATTGTTATCAGCTGGCCATCTCGGCTCGACCGTCGAGCGACCGCGAAACCTCGCTGTCAATGTTTCGTCGTTGACTTCTCTCCACCGTGCACCTGTTCCTTCGGCCGAAACGTTTCAGACATAATTCATTGATCAGTCGCGCCGATAACGCAATCGTGACAACACGATTCGTAGTAGAAACTTCGTTCCTTCGTTAGAACCCGTTTGCCACGTGGACGGATTCGATGTCATTGCTCAAGTCAATATCATTTCTCAAGTACGCGTAGAATAGTGGACGGTTAGAAAACGACATTGACATGTCAATGACGTGTCGCTTCCTTGATTTAACACCCTACGGCTTGTTCAGAGAACTCTCCCTACGCGGTGAGAATTTTACAGTACTCTCCAAATTTCTCGCAGTGAAATTTCATTCGAATAACAGAGCGCGACAGCCGTGTCACTTGGATCCGAGTGATTTTTCACTCCTGTAGAGCGAATTCTCCACTCTGAGTCGTCGAACAAATATCTTCACTCGAAATGAAAAGTGAATCTGATGCATTCCACTAGAAAAATTAATTCAATCGATTGAAACATCCGCTCATGTGAAGTCAGAATCCACTTTGGTAAAACATTCACTCTTGTGATCTCGAATGGCAATATCTTTATTATCATCTCGAGTAAAGATACTGTCACTTTTCACTCCAAGAAATTTGAAGAGTAACTATAGAATTTTCTAACCGAGAAATAGATCGACATTTTGCAGTGATTCCGTGCCCTTTCATTTTACATGTTTACTTCCTAAATTTTCTGAAGTAAGATTTCACTCGGAAAGCAAAGTGACAGCCGAGTCATTTGAATTCGAGTCATTTTTCGTTCCTATATGAATTATCCACTCTGAATCGTTGAGTGAATATTTTCACTAAAAACTGAAAAGTGAATCTGATGCACCGTAGAGGAACATTCACTCCGGTCGATTGAAACATCCGCTCGAATGGAGTCAGAATCCACTCTGATTTTGAGCGGAACATTCACTCTTGCGATTACGAATGGCAATATTTTCACTATCGCCTCGAGTGAAAATTCCGTCACTTTTCACTGCAGAAAATTTAGAGTATATATTTTAGGAACTGCTAAAACACTCGTTACATTTTTAACTACTAAAAATACTATGTTCCTCAGCAAGATGGACCTCACTGACAGTCCATTCCTAGACTATTAACTAAAAATATAGTAAAATGGAAAAAAATTTATATGAAAGAGAACTACAATATTCTCTCATTGCACCTCGTACTTTTTTTTACGTAATTGTGTAAAACAGAACGTTTAATGATATAGATATAAAAACAAATTTTTGCCGTCACACACACACATACACATACGTGATGCTGGTCTTCAGCGAGAGATTGTTGCATTACGCACATATTGACGTTGGTAGCGAACGTGTTAATGCATGGCGCTCGTCGTCTCGTCAAAGACCGAGAATAATGCCGCAGGAGGTATGGAACGAACGTTCTTGTGTGCCACGGCGTGTTTCAGAGTGCACCCAGGAGGTTATCGCGACTGGTTTTACGAATATATTCGTATATTCCGTTCTCTCTCTCTTTAGACTCAACCGTTGATTCCTGGAAGTCTGAGTCGCCTACGCGTCGCGAGCCTGCATCGCGATATATAAAGCTGGTGGTGCGTCTCGACGCCGTGAGCTGCCAAGGTGCACCGTCCTCGTAATGGCGTTTCAGCACGCGTCGTTCGCTGAAATCGCGATTGCCGACTGTTTAATTACTGTCGCCGCTCGCGGGAAGAATGATGTAAAAAACATAAAGATATACGGTTTTTCTCGTCGATCGTTGCAGATAAATGAAGATACGGCGATAAAAGATAAATGAAGATCCGCGAGGCTCTCTTTTGCGGTGCACTGAGAGAAAAATGTACGATATTTGGAACTATAATGGCATAGTAAAAAGATTATAGTTGGGAATATCTTTTTTATAGTAAATGTGACCATAATGTTTGTAATATTTACAATATAAGCATAATATAACTGACTCATGTAAAACTTTTGCCAAGAACTATAATTATTTGAAATAAAAAACATAGTAAGGTAGCAAATATTAAATGGTAGAGAAGTTAATTACTTTATATAGTCAATACAATTGGAATATTTGGAAAGTATGGGTACATGTAACTATATTCCCAAAGAGTGCTTTACTGTACACATAGAGTAATAAGATGGTGACTATAAATGTGTTCATTCTGCTATATCTTCGTGTTTAGATGAACTATAAATATATGTTTGAGACCAAAACGAACTATAAAATATAGTGAGATTATAGTTATTCCAACTATTTTTTTCTCTCAGTGTGAATGCGCAACTTGTTGGAGTTTTCGAGCATTCACGTCCAATTCGGTGCCGTCCAGTCGTTAGAAACGATGATTTTGCCACTCGAACCTTGCCACTCTTCTTCTCCATTGATTTTTCCGTTCAGAGATAATCCACACGATGTAATGATAACAAGGTCTTCTGGAAACACGTCTGACCCGAATTTGCGGTCGTTAACAAGCGTTATGGGCGCGAATTTGGGCGTGGAGACGTGCGCATTGTGCATAGAAAAGATCCGACATACTTATTTAATCTCTCACCGAGGTCGCGCACGAATACCAAGAAAGTCAGTAAGCGATTCACGTTCTGGAATGTCGCTCAGTACGAGAGTTCAAGATGTCAATCGTGAGTAACAACAATGGTTCGCAGCCTACGCCGCCTCGGTTTCGGTCATAACGCGCTTGTCGACAGCTGTCACGTTCAGACACAATTATACGCATGTAAATACGACGACATCGACTCTTTCGTTTCCGCAATTTTCACGTTTCGCCCAAACCACCTGATTTATAACGACTAGGTTAACAGGAAAGCGTGATAGCCTCAGATGCCGCCGGGAAGAACTCTGACCGGCTGATTAATTTCGCAGTAATCTCTCTCTCGCGCGTGAGTTGATCTTCTTAAAACCACTTCATCATCGGCAGGTATCCTCTCGACGTGTGCGGTGACGCAAACACACGGACAGAGCGGTGTCGTCCGTCTCGTGTCGCGCATCTAATAAAGTGGTAGACACAAAAATATCTTGAGAGAATTGTCCT